CATCCACAAACCCATTCATTCTCTTCCTTCTCTCTCTCTCTACCCCCCACCCAATTTCTGGCACCGCTGCTTGTGGCGGAGCAATCCCAAACCCGATTTATTCTCTTCCTTCCCTATATCCTCTCTCTCTTTACCACCCATTCCTCCCCCAGTGTATACCATCACTTCCGACACCGCTACGTGCGGCTCTGCTCTGCTCTGCTCTGCCGCTAGATCTGCTGCTATTAACCAGGAAATAAAGTGTGCTTTTGAAGATTACTGGTGAACTGTGGCTGAGGATGCTAGTGAAAAGGCTACTGCTTGTGCTGCAAGTAGTGTTGCAAGAAGCCGTCGGCGAAGAAGCGATCAGAGAGTGAAATCTAAAATTGTCCCAATTTTATAATATTAGCGACTTTCTCCAATTCTTAAGATTTTTTTCCCCTAAACTTAAGGATAATTTAATGAACCTCCTGTACAATCATTATGAACATGAAATCATTAATTGGTGACTTTTATTATTGCAGGTTTACTTTAAAGCAACAGATCCATTCAATGAAAGGTGGCAGAGTGCCTGGATTATCAATGCTTTCTGGGACATTCTTGCATTTTCCTTGCTCTGTGTTATCTGTTATCTCTAAGCACCATCACAACGCTCCCAGCGGTAGGTTTACAATGACACGTTCTCTGAATTATGTTTTATTTTTTCATTTTATTCTGTGGAACTATTTTTGCTCAATTTTACAATAACTCCCACCAGTTATGCATATTCGGACGGCAAGGGAGACGAGATCGACGATGAATAAAATCTAATCCTTATGTAGAGAAAATTCAAAAGGTATCAGTTTAGTAAAGCAAGATAGGAAGGATGACATCGAGACATCTGATCCAAAAGAAGAAACCGAAGAGGGTAAAAGGGAATGAATCTTCAATATTTTTTTCAGATCATCTCATGTAGAGGTCTAAACACACAGAAATCATTGACAACAAGAAAGGGAAAAAACAATCTGCAGACACCACCAAGTTTTAGAAGTGAAGGTAAAGGGTGAAAGCACATGGTTCCTAGTTTTGTAGAGGGAAAAACTGTGATGAAACTCGTAATTGTATGTTTATGCGTTAAGCAATTATCCCGGAATATGTTTATGCGTTAAGCAAGATATCCCCAAAATCTTTTTTATGCCAACAGGAACCTTCAATCTGACTGGTACTGGTCCGTGGTGTAAGCGGATTTGTTTGTGGTGACCATTTGTGACCAAATATGTATGTACTGTGACTGATTGTAGCCAATTTTGTGCTAATTGTGACTGATTGTGACTTGATCATATTCAAGTCACGGGGTGAGGATTGCCGTATTGGCAGTGGCAGTAGTGTTGATGGCATCAATTTTTGGCTCTATACCCAAAACTCACAGTCAAAGAACAATATATGCTCATTTATTGGCTCTAT